TGAGATCCATGAAGGTGGTGTACAATTCATGATTCTGCTCTTGACACTTCTCTTGGAGCTGTCGGGCTGCGAAGATCATGGCCATAGTGCCACACTCTTTGTGGAAACAGCACTGTGTCTCGGGTAATAAACCCAGCTGGTCAGTCAGGCGGTTCAGCAACACTCGTGCAAGGATCTTGCCTGCGATGGAAAGCAGTGATATTCCTCTATGATTATCGCAGATTTGTTGATTCCCTTTCCTCTTGTAGAGGTGTATGATGGACACATCTTTCAGTTCCTGAGGAATGGATCTTTGACTCCAGAAAGATTGGAACAGCTGAGTGAGTTTGTCGACAAGCACTGCACCACCATCCTTATAGACCTCTGCTGGGATCGCATCAGATCCTGGGGCCTTGCCACTGGACAGCTGGCTGACGGCCTGTAGGGTTTCAGTCTTTGATGATGGGGCGTCCAGGCTGTGGTTGATATCCACCTGGGGCATTCTGTCGATCACCTCATTGTTGATGGAAGATAGGCATTTCAATACAAATGGGAAGTGCTCAGACCATCACTGTAGAATCAGAGTCTTCTCAGTGATGAGAGTTGCACCATCTGAGTCCAGTAGGGGGGAGCTCCCTGAGGGCTGAGGTCCGTACAAGGATCCGAGGGCTTCGTAGAACCATTTAGCATCGTTTCTATCAACAAACTTCTGAATTTCATCTGTTTTGGTACTCAACCAGGAGTCCTGCATTTTACGAAACTTGCTCTGTATGGTCTTGCAAGTGTTGTTGAAGGCATTTTTCTTAGCTGTTGATGACGGGTCATTCTGATAAACACGGTGAAGGTGGTGCTTTTCACTAAGTAGGGCCTTGATCTCTGACATTTTTGTCAAACCAGTCCTGCTGTTTCCTGTGTGAGGTTCCAAGAACTTTTAGTGCACAATATCCCGAAAACATTCCCAGTCCTTCTCAGCATTTCCCTCTAATTGCAGCTCTGAGAGTTGGTTGTCAAGATCTTCTGCTAGTGAAGCTGCTGTGTTGAGGTTCCTCAGTTTATTGATGTTGATCCGTTTCATCACAGCTTTGTTTCCCTGCAGATGTGTCTTTGACTTGATGTGAAAGCTTAATTTGGACATGATGATTCTATGGTCAGTCCAACAGTCAGCGCTCGGCATGGCCTTGGTCACCCTTACATTCTGTCTTTCTTTCCTCCACACAATCAGATAATCAATAAGACGCCAGTGCTTGGAGCATGGGTGCATCCAGGATGTCTTTGTGCGAGTGGGCAGGCGAAAGATGCTATTGGAGCCATATTTATGGCTGTTTGCAGCACCCTGAAGTCACATGACCATGATTTACAATTTTTTTTGTCCACGAAACTGATGTTTACTTGTGATTTCTGGGCGGGGGGGGGGAGAGAAACACCTCCATAGCAAAGGTTTGCTTAACGACTGCAGCATTCACTTTATTGTAGAAGTCTTTAGCAACTACTACAAAAAAAGGTGTAAAATTGGGCCTGGTCATGTAGGGTCTCACTTTACGACTGTCATGGCTTACTACCATAATTGTGGGGCTCAATTATAGTCGTAAGTGGAATAACATAAGTAACCAGTGAAATAGCTTGCCTTCAGAAATGATGGGTACTCCATCACTGGAGCTTTTTAAGAAGAGACTAGACAGTCTCTTCAGCAGGGGGCTGGACTAGAAGACCTCCAAGGTCCCTTCTATTCTATTCTATTCTATTCTATTCTATTCTATTCTATTCTATTCTATTCTATTCCATTCCATTCCATTCCATTCCATTCCGTTGAAGACTACCTATATGTCAAACATTTTAAATGCTATCTAGAAGATTTTCAACTCCACAAATTGAATTCACATTTAAAATAGCGAAGTGTGAGTACTCAAAAAGTATTTGGATTTGGATCAAAATGTCACACCATGATGTACATCGTCATGATGTAATAAAGATGTTGAGAGTCTAAAAAGAGTGCAGAGAAGAGCAACCAAGATGATTAGGGGAATGGAGGCTAAAACATATAACGAACGAAAGCTGGAATTGGGTATGTCTAGATTAATGAAAAGAAGGACTAGGGGAAATATGATAGCAGTCTTCCAACATTTGAGGGGCTACCACAAAGAAGAGGGAGTCAAGCTATGCTCCAAAGCACCTGAGGGCAGGACAAGAAACAATGGGTAGCAACTAATCAAGGAGAGAATTTCCTGACAGTGAGAACAATTAACCAGAGGAACAGCTTGCCTCTAGAAGTTGTGGGTGCTTCATCACTGGAGGCTTTTAAGAAGAGATTGGACAACTATCTCTCTGAAATGGTATATGGTTTCCTTCCTGGGCAGGGGGTTGGACTGGTGGTGGGATTCAGCCGGTTCTCTCCGGATCAGGCGAACCGGTAGCACCGACTGCAAGAGGCTCTGCCCACCCACCCGGATGTAATGAGCGAGCACTAAGCATGTACAGAAGGCCGTGTGCATGCACAGAGGAGGCACATGTGAGTGAAGCATGTGAGCGCACACGCGCTCACATTTGGAAACCGGTAAGGAAGTTAAGTGAATCCCACCTCTGGGTTGGACTAGAAGACATCCGAGATGCCTTCCAATTCTGTTATTCAGTTCAATTTCGATTTATAGAATTCCTTTATAAGACAATTCCTTTCACAAAATTAGGCTAGGAACATTTTGGGCGCATCAGAGTAAACTCAACAGTCACAAAAGAAATGAATTTCAATGTTCCTCTTCAAATTAAAAGTTAAGTCTTTCTTAAAAGTGCACTTAAAAATCCTGGAAGGCCACTGAAATTAAATACTAGTTTGGACTTGTAGCTGAAATATGTTATCTATCTTTTGGGTCTTGTCAATAGCAAAAGCAGACGGCTTACTTATTATCATAGGTTATATCAACCTAGCATTAAAAAATGACAAGGACTTCATGATTTCAAGAGACTCCCAAATTAAAAGAAAAATGAAGATTCTTGGATTAAGAGACCAAAAGAAATTACAAATGGAGGCAAATATACATGTCCCAGGATAATGTTGCAAGATCGAATCTGGATCAGTCACCAGAACCAGAGATTTACACTTCCAGTAGGAAGGTACCCCATAAATACAGAATAGCCCAAAAGCATATATTCCAATAGAGAGATGTTCCCTGAGGATAGGCTCCGAAACTTTGGAAGAGTAAACCTAACCATAGTACATAAAATAATCTGCTACAATGTCCTACCAGCCAATGAATACTTCAGCTTCAACCAAAACAATATAAGAGCACACAATAGATACAAACTCATGGTAAACCGATCCAAACTAGACTGCAGAAAATACGACTTCAGTAACAGAGTGGTCAATGCCTGGAATGCACTACCTGACTCTGTGGTTTCTTCCCCAAATCCCCAAAACTTTAACCTTAGACTGTCTACTGTAGACCTCACCCCATTCCTAAGAGGTCTGCAAGGGGCGTGCATAAGCGCACCAGCGTGCCTACCGTCCCTGTCCTAATGTTTTCTTTTATTTGTATCCTTTTCATGTATTTATAATTATGTTTACACTTGTATCTGTCATAAAATACATGCTTGATGAAATCAATCAATCAATCAATCAATCAATCAATCAATCAATAAAGATCCCTGGTGACGCAGCAGACTAAAGCACTGTTATTAACATCAGCTGCCTGCAATTACTGCAAGTTCAAATCTCACCAGGCTCAAGGTTGACTCAGCCTTCCATCCTTTCTAAGGTAGGTAAAATAAGGACCCAGATTGTAGGGGCAATAAGCTGACTTTGTATAAAATATACAAAAGTATAAAGGCTATTGCTTAACGCATTGTAAGCTGCCCTGAGTCTCCGGAGAAGGGCGGCATATAAATCAAATTTTTAAAAAATCAATCAATCAATCAATCTCTGGTCCCAGTGACCAACCCAGATTGGATCTTGCAACAACAACAACAAAAATTGATTGCAAAGGAGAGGGCTAGAAGATATCATTTTCTATGGTTTACAAAAAGACAAGTAAGAATTGAATTTATTTATACCAACCATCAGAATGGGATATAGTGTAGAGTTAGTTATACCAATCGGAAATGTTAAAGTTCTGTACAGATTACTTTCTCATCCAGTATAATATGAATACAACATTGTGGAAATTTGGAGCAATTATGATCTAAAAATTGCTAGGGGAGGTTAAGAACTTCCTTATTACAAGATAACTACTGCCGATCATCCAAAGTGAGTTTAGCAAATTTATCAATTTGAGTTAGCAAACTTGACAGAATTATAGCTAGTATACCTCAGAGATCTTTAGAAACTCTTCATGCCATTACCTAAGGTCAGAAACATTAGCATGTTGCAACAAAAGCAATGAAGAGCTGCATCTAACTTTATTTTCAACATGGATTATGTTCACCAGCTGAATTGGTTAATGGAGAACATTTTGTTATATGTTAAATGTTACAAATGAAACATTAAACTTTTGAAATGTGCTTGAAGATGAGTAGCTCGGGATGGTAGTTAAGCTGTTGGTGTGAGCTCCGAGCTTGGCGATTTGGTTGCAAACATTTCATCACTGTTCGAGTAGACATCGTCAGTGCATTTTGAATTGTGCTTGTCTGTCAAAACACAGGTCTTTAAATACCTTGATATTTAATATAAAAATGTAATAATAATAATAATAAAAAAGTAATATGAGGGGGGAAGGTGTCTATGTGTCAGATGTCACCCCCACATTGGGCTCAAGTTCCAGGTGGTCTCACAGTTTGGCTCTCTCAGTTTTGTTTTGTTTTTTCCAGTTCTTTCAACTTACTTTCTGCCTCGGGTTGAATTAAAAGTCCCGCCGAATTTCTTCCGATTAAGGATGAGAGCCGCAATTTCTGGCACGTAGCGCGCAAACATTGCCTACATGCATGAAAGAAAAGCAAAACAAAAAAAAGAAAAGAAAAGAAAAAAAGAAAAGAAAAATAGCATGCAGAGAGTATTGTGCCGCACCAAAGGCAGCAGAGTGCCTTGGAATACTTACTTTCTTCCACTAACCGCACTATAGGAACCACCATATTTCTTGCGGTTTCCTATTAACTCTATGATTTCAGGGACGTAACTGGCAAACATGGCCTAAGGAAGAAGACAGGAGACAGAGAAAAGACTAAAAAGAGAGGTCAAAGGAAGGGGAGGGGCCGATGAGTTTTATAAGAAGATACATCATCCTTACGATCTGAAAATGCAAGGCATGGGCCCTAATCGAGCGCCTTTCCTCCAAAAATAAAAACAAGGAAAAAAAAGATCGCAAAAAGTTTTCATCTCAAAACAAGAATGTCAAATGTCAGGAGGTTTTTTTGTAAAGAGGGAAACACCGGCTCGGCTACAGAAAACAGTCAAAAGAGGGAGACAGGAATGAAAAAAAAAATGATGCAAAAAAAGGGGGGAAAACAAAAACCAAGAACAAGAACAAAATTGAGTCAAAGTGACATTGAAGGGATAAAAGAGTGCCGTGGCTAGTATTTTTGAAAAGCGGGGCGAGTGGAATTTTTCAAATGTTTACTGTCCAAAACTCCCCGCAAAGCCATATTTCTGATGCTTGCATTATTATGAGTATTTTAGACAAGACAGGTGAGAGGTTTTTTTCACCTCATGTCAATGGTTTATGAAACAAAAACAGAGTGGATTTTCTGCACAATGAGAATGAACATGATGTAAAGTTGTTTGTTTTTTAAGTTCATCTTTTTTAAAAGACGGGTAAGAAAATGTAAGGATGTAAAAGGAAAAAAAAGGCAACGAGGAGGGGAAAAAAATGCATTCTGCCATGTTTTGTCCAACAAACAGTTTGCTTGTGGCTGGGATGCCTTGAAGAGCTGCTGCCACTACCGATCTACCTTTTTGGCAAGGGAAGGAAAAATGCACAAAAAGGTTTGAGATAAAATCACTAAAACGAGAGGTGTGCCTGTCTATATATGTACACCTTCGTTACTTTTAGGTCTGTAATACAGGGGGGTTCCAACCCTGGTAACTTTACAACTTGTGGACTTCAACTCCCAGAATTCCTCGCCCATCCATGCTGGCCGAGGAATTCTGGGACTTGAAGTCCACAAGTCGTAAAGTTGCCAAAATTGGACACCTCTGCTGTAAATATAAAGCTTACAGACATACAGTAGTGGCCAAAATTGTGGAAACCTTTTGGGAAAAGTGTATTTTCTAAAACTAGCTAATAACACCATTTTTTTTTGGAGTGGTACCATAAAATTATATATCAATGGAAAAATAATTGAGTCAAGAATGGAATGCAATAACTTTTAGGAAGGATTTGCTATTAGAATAGCAGTTACGGTATAAAGAAGAAAAGTGAAACACGTAGAAAAAACGAGATATACAAAAATTATCACCATGTCAGTTAATACTTAGTTGGGTAACCTTTAGCATGAATTACGGCCTTACAACATCTTCCCATAGAGCGGACCAAGTCTTTTAGTTCTGCAGCTGTTCTAATGTGAAACCAAGATTGAATGATGGCTTCTATTAACTGGGTTTTATTGCTGGGTCGCTTCTGACTAACAAGTTTCTTTAGTCGGCTCCATAGATTTTCCATTGGGTTAAGGTCTGGGCTGTTCCCAGGCCATTCCAGCAGTAGAATAGAATTATCTTGAAACTCCAAAAGAAAAAGTGGTGTTATTAGCCATCAAACCTCAAAAATACACTTTTCCCAAAAGGTTTCTACAATTTTGACCACTACTGTAGATGGGTTTGCACATACACATACAGGTACATCTCTACACACACACACACCTGGGGTTGAAGAAGTCACTTACCTTATACTTCAACCTGAACACTGGTTGGTTTTTCTTTTCTAGGGCAAAAATGCAATGGCTACCAGAAATTTATTGCATTGAGAAAAAAAACAATAATTGGTAATTTGTTCAGGGACAATATCTATAAGGGGGTCCACTTTGTTCAGGATGTTCCTTCAGTATCCTGAGCACCACAGCTGGAGCATCTGCAAGGGCACCCAAAGAGTTAAGGTAGCAGTTGCCGCCATGCGATCCAAGCCCAGCTCCTTGGAGAAAGTGCATCTTACAGATTTTAATCCTCCAGAATAGCTGGGCTTCTTTTTCCTCTCCCAAAAATCTTTTTCTTTCTTTCTTTCTCTCTCTCTCTCATAGGGGGCATTCTTTGCCGATCTGTCGGGAAATTTGTAATGACTGCTTATTTTAGCCTCATCCTTGGTTGCTATTTGGAAGGATGCGAACTCGCTTTTCCCGCTAGCCGGAAAAATAGAAACCCCCGGCAACAGCTCTTTTAAGGAGGATCCTAAACCACAATGTTTGTTGGAATGTTGGGAAGGAACACAAAAGGGAAGGTCTTGAAACCGCAACTAATTTCACCTGGACTGTTATCAGCAGTCCAACGTTAACCAACTAGGCACGGAGGCTGTGCACACTTTCAAAACAATTTCACTGGCGTAAGTCGGCCTTCAAGTCCAACCTCTCCCCGCTTTTCATTAAAAGCTTAGTTCCTTTCCATTTTATTTTCCCTTTGCGTTTCAGCCGAGCTTCGGAAAAGTTAAGACTGCTTTAAGGAATGTGCTCATTAACGTTAACACACCCAACCTTTGAAAGCAGTGGCACTTTTGCTCGGAAACCTGGAGCAGACGAGGTTGGTTTCGTTGCCACATTTTCTCCTGGGCTCAAATGTACGCACAGGTAGCCCTTGACTTATGACCACAATTGAGCCCCAAATTTCTGATGCTAAGCAAGGCAGTTGTTAAGTGTGTTTTGCCCTGTGGGACAACGTCTCCTGCCACAGCTGTTGAGCCAATCACTGCAGTTGTTAAGATAGTAACACAGTTATGAAGTGAACGTGGTTTCCCCGTTGACTTTGCTAGTCAGAAGTTTACGACGGTCATAAATATGAGTTGGTTGCCAAGTGTCCAAATTTTGATCACGTGACCACGGGGATGCTGCAATGGTTGCGTGAAAAATGGTCCTAAGTCACTTTTTTCAGTGACATTCTTGTAACTCGTTAAATGAACCGTTGTAAACTGAGGACTACCTGTATTGGATGTAGAACTGCTAAGTTGATAACTAAGGCAGTGATCTGAGAAACCCAGTACATTAAACAAGTTGGGATACCGTGCAAGGGAGATTCAAATGACTGTCTCTTTGTATTAACAAATTTGTATTTTGTCATTTTTAATTCCTCCAAAAATTAGATTTAGTAGTCCTCAATTTACAACCATTCATTCAGTGAAGTTACAACGACACTGAAAAGAGTGAGTTATGATGGTTTTTCACACACAGGACCAGCAGTGGGTTTCCAATATTGTTACCGCCGGTTCGCCGCATGCACGCACGCTTTCCGTGCATGCGGCCGGCCTTCCACGCATGCGCTTTGCTTACTTGCGCGCCTTCTGTGCATGCGCCTGGCCTCAAAAATGTGCCTAAATAGAATGGCATAGAGCCAGGGTGGGCGGGCAGGCCCACCCGCGATCTCCGCTACCAGTTCGCCTGAATCGGTACAAACCGGATGAATACCACCTCTGCGCAGGACCATTGCAGCATCCTCGTGGTCATGTGATCAAAATCTGGACAATTGGTGTGTATTTAGGATAGTTGCGGTGCCCTGAGGTCACGTGATCATCATTTGCAAACTTGCCTGAGAATCAAAGTCAACGAGAAAGTTGGATTCAGTTAACAACCGGATTGCTCGCTTAACAAGGGTGGCAGGAGAGGTTGTAAAATGGGACAAAACCCACTTAACAACCGTCGTGCTTAGCAATGGGCTCAACTGTCGTTGTAAGTGAAGGACGACCTATATTTTATTTCGTTGGTTAGATCGCAGGAGGAATCAAACAACCCATTTCTACTCAACAGGCCGGTCTCATGAACAGCGGAGAGAAGCTAGGCTTGTTGTAAAGACCAAAGCAGGGTCCCTGAAGGATTTTCAAAGTGTGCCCAGCCGTCCTCCTCATTGCTTAAAGCTTTTAATTCTTCAAATGCTTCCTATCCTTACTATCTCTGCAAACGTTAACATCCGTAAATACGCCATTGCCCTAGTTCAGTAACTAGCTCTTCAAAATGCAATGCAATGGGATATGTATTTTGAAGTCATAAGTTACGGTATAATTGTTACATTAAATATATATATATAAATGTTTTACCAATCCCCCGAGGATGAAGAAAACCATGAAAAGACGACCAAGGGTAGTTTTTGCATAAACATCTCCATAGCCAACGGTGGACATAGTAACCATTAGCAAATAAACACATTCCCAATATGTAAGTGGTTGGTTATTTTGGAAGTTTTCCCATGGATCCCCTGAGTTCTCCACCTATAACGAAAGGACAACAGCAAATTAAATGCATCATTGTCTGCAATGCGATGCTCCCATTCACAAACTTATTAGTACATAATTAGTAACTTCAGGGAGGAAAAAATGCAACGCAGTTATGATCTCATTGAAAACGGTTGAAGCCAAATTCTGTTTTTTGCCAGGGAATATCAGTAACACCTCATACAGCTCTAATGAAGTGGAGCAATTTTAATCTTAACAATTCAATGGACTGTGATAAAACAAGTCATTTTCCTTATATCAAATCAGTTAGGTTATATAGGTGGTTGGCATGTTCCAAATACAGAATCCTGTCGAGGAAAAAAAAGTTGGAAATCATCCTAAAATACTGTATTTTTCGGAGTATAAGACGCACCTTAGTTTTTAGGGAGGAAAATAAGAAAAAAAAAGCTGATTGACGAGTGGATCGGCCTCCCGGAATACCCTCAATCAGCTGTGCCCAGAGGTGAATTTTAGCAAAAGGTTCGTTGGTTGTGAGCTCTGTGCCTTCCTTTTTTTTCTGCCACTGAAACTTCTGAAACTGTTTCAGAATCAGAAAAAACTTTTTTTCTGCCTCTGAAAGCCTCCGAAACAAAGCTTCAGAAAAAAAGCCTCTGAAGCTCTGTTTCTGAGGCTTTTTTTCTGAAGCTGTTTGGAGGCTTTTTTTCTGAAGTTCTGTTTGGAGGCTTTTTTTTCTGAAGCTTCATTTCTGATGCTTTTTTTAGCCTCTGAAACCTCTGTTTGAGAAGCTGGGAGGGGCTACATTCAGTATATAAGACGCACCCAGATTTTCACCCTCTTTTTTTGGGGAAAAAGGTGTGTCTTATATTCCAAAAAATACAGTAGTAAGCATTGTTAAAAGAGAAGAGAAGAATATGTTCATCACCTGCAAGTTCTAGAAGGATAATCTAATAACTGATAAATGATGACTCCATTAGAAATTCACAACTATGTTGAAATATATCTGACACTTAGGACTAAAATGTAATGGTGGATTCTAATATGGGTTTTCAAGAAAGTCAAGATGGAACTTATAGCCACGAAACTGGTCTTTAGTCTTATGGTTGTAATAGGACTAGGGGTGACATGATAGTAGTCTTCCAAAATTTGAGAGGCTGTCATAGAGAGGAGGGTGTCAACCTATTCTTCAAAGCATCTGAAGGCAGGACAAGAAGCAATGGTTGGAAACTAATCAAGGAGAGAAGCAACCTGGAATTAAGGAGAAACTTCCTAACAGTGAGGACAATTAACCGGTTGAACAACTTGCCTTCAGAAGTTGTGGGTGCTCCATCCCTGGAAGTTTTTAAGAAGAGATTGGACAGCCATTTGTCTGGAATGATATAGGGCCATGATGGCGAACCTATGGCACGCGGAGCCATATCTGTGGGCACACGAGCGTTGTCCTAGCTGAGCTCCAGCGTGCATGTGCATGCCAGCCAGCTGATTTTTGGGCCTTTTGGGCCCACCAGACATCGGGAAATGGGCCGTTTCCAGCCTCTGGAGGGACTCCGGGGGGGTGGGGGGTGGGAAAGGCCGTTTTCACTCTCCCCAGGCTCCAAGAAAGCCTCTGGAGCCTGGGGAGGACGAAAAACAGGCCTACCAGGCCCACCAGTAACCTTTTTGCTATCGTGTGCCAAAAGTGGGGGGAGCGCGGGGAGTCGCATGCAGGGGGCGGGGCGCAGGGAGGCATTGAATTATGGTGTGGGCACGCATGCGCGTGACCCCTGCCATGCTCCTGCTTTTGGCACATGACGGCAAAAAGGTTAGCCATCGCTGATATAGGTCTCCTGCCTGAGCAGGGAGCTGGACTAGAAGACCTCCAAGGTCCTTCCAACCCTATTATTTTATGTTCTCTGTTTTTGGGTGGTCCACCTACTGTAATCCTATCCACAAAATTTAGGGCGAAACTACTCTTGGAAATAGTCACCAAGACTCACACAATTCCTCCCTATTATAGCAGCAAGTAGCTACCACAATAATTGTCACTCAAGACGAAATGTCACAAAAGAGAAAAATGTGAATTGATTCCCCCCAAATCAGCAATCTTGGTAGGATCTATTTCTAAAGAGTAGTTCCAAAATATATTGGAAATCTAATCCTTAAAGAAGGAGAGGATGTGTTAAGTTATTTTAATTCAAACAGGCAACAGTCTACAGTGATCTTCAGGAGAAAATGAGCATTGTGTACATCCATAGATTGTGAGTCTTAGTAATATATAACATTCTTCATTTTTGTTACAAGAAGTTGTCTTGTATCTGCTACCACATTTTATTTTATTTTATTTTTTGTTTCTAAACCCACACTGCCACATAGTGGCTTCTTGTGGTTATTGTCAAATTCAGTAAAAGTTCTCCAGAGTCTCAAAATTAGACCCCAAAATTCATAGCTTTCTCTTCCAGTTTCAGACAAAGCAGTTGACAAAATCTGGTGTTTTTTTCATGCTGTTTTCTCCTTTTCTCCTCTCGGAGGAATTTCTCAGTGAGAGACAAGATTTACTAATAATATTTAAAAGAACCCAGGAATCCTGCATTAAAAATCTGAAAAATGACATACTGTATGACTGAGGGGAATTCTCCATTACGGTGTTTCTCAACCTCAGCCATTTTAAGCTACGGGGACTTCCAAAACTCCCATAATTCCCCAGCCATGCATGATGGCTAAGGAATTCTGGGAGTTGAAGTCCTCGTAGTTTAAAATTCCTGAGATTGAGAAATCCTTGATCTATTACTTTTATTCTGAACAGCAACACATCTGGAGTTGCTTCACTAGATTAAGCCACCAGTGTCTTTGCGAAACGTGTTCCCGCTGAAAACGAAGAAGAAATACATGGTGCATTTTTAAAAAAAGAAAAATGATCCATAGCCGGATTAGCTCATAATAATTCTAAAGCTCCCCAAATAAGCCTTTTTGAGCATACTTACCAAATGTATAAATCCAGCTGCTGTCAGCCATGTGCTAATAAATATCGAGCACAGATTCACTAACTTGATGGAATTACTGGTTAAAAGAAAAAGAGAAAATCAAACAAATTCTTCTCAGAGGTTTTTTTTTTTTTTTAAACCCAAACATTCTCTAGCTTTTTCAAACCTTCCTTCCTGAAAATCCACAAACTTTTTCTTTCAAGTAACAGGTCAGTTTCTCAGCATAAAAGAATCCTATGGGTTCAACGTGTCTTTCAATAAACAAAGGATATCCATAAAATAGGAAACCGTTGAAAATCGAAAGAAATGAACGATTTACGGGTGGGAAAAAAACGTGTTTATGAGTGAATGACAAGCATTCACCCTCACTAGGAAGGAGATGGGGTAAAATGCACTTACTTTCGCTACCGGATTGCAAATGTGAGTGCGCGCCTCTTCTGTGCATGCACAGACCCTTCTGTGCATGCACAGAGGGTCAAAAATGGGACATCATGACATCCGGGTGGGTGGGCAGAGCCTACTGTCGCCGGCCTTACCGGATCGCGCGAACCGGATAGAGCCAGCTGGATTTCACCACTGGAAGGAAATCTACTTTTTCACAGCTAAGTGGAAGCACCAAGGTCAGTCTTGGCTCATCTTGAAAAACCAAATGGAGTTGGACTGTTAGGATGGGAGACCACCAGGAAATCTCAGGTTAGATGGGAATTCAGTTTCAAAACAAAGTCCCCACAAGATGCCATGGAAATTGGCTCCTGTGTTATTGCCATGAAAAATATATGGATATTTTCTATATGGTGGGAATGCTGAGAGGGATGGACTTGGTGGACAACGAAGAAGTCTAGGACGGCCGTCTTTACAGAAATTTAGGAAAAAAATAATGAAAAGAAGGCAATAGCCATCCGCCTCATTGTGTTGTCTGAATGGAGGCAATACAGGTAAGTCGACTTATGACAGTTCACTTGGTGACCATTTGAAGTTACAACAGCACTGAGAAAAGTGACCTATGACCATTTTTCACATTTATGACCATTGCAGCATCCCCATGGTTACGTGATCAACATTCAGATGCTTGACAACTGACTCATACTTATGACTGTAGTAGTGTCCCGGGATCACATGATTCCCTTTTGCGACCTTCTGACAAGCAAAGTTGACGGGGAAGCCAGATTCACTTCACAACCGGATCACTAATCTAACAACTGCACTGATTTACTCAACAACTGTGCCAAGAAAGGTTGTAAAATGATGCAAAACCTCACGTAACACATTTCTCACTTAGCAACATAAACTTTGGGCTCAATTGCGGTTGTACGTTGAGGACTACCTGTACGCAGAGACTCACACTCGCACAAATACAGTCAGGTATTTCCCGATGGTGTGCGGAGCGATGGGGGCCATTAGTTTGCCAGACTAGCCAACTTCCAAAATGAAGACTGCTAGGAAAAACCTGGTTAGTTGCAAGGCGTCTCTTCTCAGGCTCTAAAATCATGTTCACAATTTGAAACCTTTTTTCTTTACAGCCCAAAGGATGGATAAACGTTTACATGTTGTAATTGTATAAAATTAAAACAGCCTGATATTGTTTAATTGGATGTATTTGAGTGGCTTTTTCATTTCTCCATTTGAATCATGTACTATATACACTTCGCCTTTCGGATAAATAGTTAATAATCATTCTTTTAATTTTAATTTGGCAGTGTATTGTATAATATTGTGTAAATATACTCTGATGGACAGTTCTTGCATCGGTTGAAAATGTATAGTCAGATGAACATCATTGCCTCCTAATAGCAACAGCAATAGCACTTAAGAGTTACGTACCGCTTCACACAGTGCTTTGCGGTTTACAGGGTCAGCATATTGCCCCTGTTCTGTTCCCCTTCCCCACACAGGCAAACACACAACCAGGCACACCTGCCAAGATTTTATTAAGCAATCAGACTAGAAGCCCTTGCAGATAAGAGTTTTGGCAGTAAACTGCGAAATGCTTGCCAAGTCAGTTTTCACTCACAGTAAGCAAGAAAGAGTTTATCCTCAGTTCGGTTCAGTAGCAAAAAGTAATCCACGAAGCAAGAGTTAGCCAAGGTCCAATCCAAATACGCACAAGCCCGATTTCAGGTAACGCGATGTGACTCTCAGGTTTTTAACTTTGACTGTCACAAAGCCTGAAGAGCAGTCACACCCACTTTTATTCCTTGTGGGGTGTGGCTCAGTGACTCAGCTCAATCTCTGGCCCTCCCACGCCTCTTTCATTACTGCACACGCTTCTCCCTCCGACGCTGCCTGGGATCAAGCCAGGATTCATCATCTTCGCTCCCTATCTGTTGTTGTTCCGATATGCTTTCCTCCTGGCATATCCCAGACTGTTCCTCTTGGCCTTCAGATGGAACTTGAGGCATTGCCAGAGAGGAGGGTCCTGGAAAGGGAGACCTTGTCAGTTCCTCCCCATCACCTTCTGAGTCCTCTTCCTCTGTTAGGACAGGCTCGGGAGTCGGGGTCACAACAGCCCCCAACAACCTGGGTCCTCATTTACCGACCTCGGAAGGATAGAAGGCTGTGTCCACCTTAAGCTGATCAGGATCGAACTCCAGGCTGTGGGCATACTTGGTCTCCAATGCTGCATTTTAATCACTGTGCCACCAGAGCTATTGATGGGCTATTGTCGTTTTGAATATTTGATGTATGAGGGGTCCTTGGTGCTCTCTGAGCTTGGCTGTTCTCTTGCAGACATTTCATGCTCCAAACTAGATAACATCATCAGTGCTAGTAAGGAATGCGGTTTACTCTCAATTTATAGTCTGGTGGCTTGCCCTGGAGCAATGTTGGAGATCTGCAAGAAATCAACCAAGCTCCGAGAACACCCTCATTTCAACCTTGAGCTACAAATAAATATTCTCCTTTATTGCTATTTCATGTCAGCCAGTTAAAAATCCGTCTGATGGTGATGTTATCTATCCCACTTTTTTTCTAGCTTACCAAGAAGTAGGTTGTGGTCTACCTTGTCGAATGCCTTGCTAATGTCTAAGTATACTGTTGTGGCCCGCCAGCAGCCAGCAGAGCTGGCAGCAGAGTCAGACAGTGAGAAGGTTTGGGAGGAACATGGGCCAGTCCTGGAGTCTGAGGAAGGCTCGGATGAGGGCTTTGAGGCAGAGGCAGAGAGGGGGCCAAGGCCATCTGGTAGTTCTTTGCTGCCTCCGAAGTCTCTGGAGTCTGACATCAGCAAGGCAGAAGAACAGGGTGAGCCTGTTCCCAGTGTGCGCATGCACAGAGCTGCCAGAAGACAGGAACAATTAAGAAAACAGGGTCGACTTGGGAGTAAGGCTTGGAGATGATTGGCCCCTCCCATAAGACATAAAAGAGAAGCGAACAGGACGTGAGCTTTTGCAGGAAGCCATTAGTTCATCTGGTCGGTAAAAGCTCTGGAAAAGCTCTGTTTGACTCTGTGCTAAGTTTGGCCTTGCCCTGCCTTTGGCAATTAGTTCTCTGGCAGCATTCCAAGGAAATGACAATCATTCACAGCCGTTTGAATTAAAGAGGTTTGCCGGGACTAAGTTTGTGCTGTTTACTTTCTAAGGAAGCCTAGGTCAGAACATATACTATGTCCACAGCATTTCACTGGTCTACTAATTTAGTCACTATGTCAAAGGATGGGTGTATAGGTAGTCCTCAACTTACGACCACAGTTGAGCCCAAAAACCTATGCTGTTAAGTGAGAAATTTGTTAAGTGAGTTTTGTCCCATTTTATGACTTTTCTCCCCACATGGGTTAAGTGAATCACTGCAAAATTAGTAACACGGTGGTTAAGTGAATTTGGTTTCCCCATTGGCTTTGCTTGTCAGAAGGTCGTAAAAGGGGATCACATGACTCCGGGCCACTGCAACCGTCATAAGTGTGAGTCAGTTGTCAAGCATCCGAATGCAAATCACGTGACCATGGGGGTGCTGCAACGGTTGTTAAGTGTGAAAAATGATCATAAGTCACTTTTTCTAGTGTCGTCGTAACTTCGAACGGCCACTAAATGAACTGTTACAAGTCGAGGACTTCCTGAATATGTAAATGAGTATTTTTGATCCTCATTATTTAATCATTATTGTATCTGATTTATGAAAAGAAATGTTCCATCGCAAAATGGAAACTGATTATTCTTTTTTTTTTCCAATTGCTCTGTTTGATTGTTTTTAGGTGAGCCAGGATTATTCAGAATGGCTTTCCTGACTTTAACGGAGAAGATTTGTGTTTTGTCTTTTCAGCCCCAATTCTAAAAATAGGTGGATTAATCGCCATTTTTTTCCTTCCTTTTAAGCTGTCAGAGACATCTGCGCTGTCCCTAATTCTGCTTGAGCCCAGCCTAAACCCCTAAAGTTTTAGCGAATCCTCATTTAATTCAGGAAAGGATAGAGCATAGTGAGGGGATAAATATATGTAAGAAGTCAAAATGAAGGGGTGGGGTGGGGAAAATCCACCTATTTTTAGAAACTGCCTGCTGGGAAAAAAAAAATGTATGTGTCAATAGGATTCAAATACACACAATAATTCAGAGAATTGTACAGATTATTATATAATTGAAGTTTTTCTTCTTAGGACCGATGGACAAACATCTGGGGAAAAAGTAATGAACGTCGTTTTTATATATGATAAACACAGCGAGATTATTTTATGCACAAAAGATGGGAAGATTTGGCAACGTCTACAACGGAAAAGTGATTGGTGAAGATGATGGTGTCAGACCTGGAAGCCATATTTACATTGGATCTTCAGACCTGCCACATTTAGTGCTGTGGGAAACTGGGAGGGGGGAGTGTATGGAGCAGGGGTGATATATATAGTCATAATAACATTCCTTTCTCAGAGAGTCAAGGACATCTTGCCCTGCACCTGGAGGGTGTGATTGGGAGGTATCTCCAGTTGGGATGGTGCTTTGATTGGACCATGCAATGGACATGTGGGTGTTGGGCAGGGACTTGGACTTTTCTATGGGTAGGGAAAACCTGGAAGCTTTCAGATTCGGATTTTCCCAGATGTGCTGATATGACACCTATAATAAAATGGAACTTCAAGGGAACTCAAGCCTCGGAGTTTTCTTTCGTTGGGGGTGTTACTTGGAACCCTGACAGATGGGACTTGCTGAGATGACCAACCTGACTTCTTTGATTTAGAGAAAAGACAATATTTACATTTATTACTGACTGGAAACCCCTTCTGGACTTTTTGCGTAAAAAAAAAGAGGGGGAAAGATTTCCGGTTTTGACTATTAGAGGAGATGTATTACAGAGATGTAGTACAGATTGGAGGAGATATATTATAAAAATATATGTATGTATTATAAAGAGATAGGTTTAAGTTTAGAGAAAGAGGTAAATTTATAATTGTGCTTATAACAGCTATAAAGAAGATTTTCCTCTTGGTTTTTAAAACTTCTAATAATATGTTTGTGTGTGTATGCACAGGCACATTAATAGATTCAAATCCTAAAATAATAGAATTAGAATTATTAGGACCCTATGAATGTTAGATCCTTGGAAGCAAATTTACTTGATAGAAGAAAGGTTACTTTTTAAAAAAATATTTATTAAATTTATTTGCAAATGAGCCATTGGCCAGTTACTTTTTCTGTCTTAAGTCTTGTTACTTAATCAATGCAAATGTCATTTATCTGACCAAGGTTATACGTATATGGATTTGAGTCCATTGTATGTTCATCCAGCAAATAATTAATCCATGAATGCCATTGAGGCGATAGAAGAACTGAATTAATACTTGGATTTACTTCAACTGTAATCCTATATACGTTTAATTTAGAGGGCTGTGTTTTTTCTTAGAATAAGCATACTTTCTTCCTTTTTACTATCAAATGTCCATTATTAGGACAGAAGAATTAAACAGTATAGGATCATTAATTCATCATTGCAAGTAGAAATTGCAGCAAAAACAATTCAAATTTTGGTTCACATTTGAAAATAAGTACTAATCATATTGTCTGAATCTTGTCCATTTAATTCCTGAAGAACTGTGTATTTAGCCTTTATACAACAGGACAAATCTATCTATCTATCTATCTATCTATCTATCTATCTATCTATCCATCCATCCATCCATCCATCCATCCATCTCATCCATCCATCTATCCTCTCTATCTATCTTATCTATCTATCTATCTATCTATCTATCTATCTATCTATCTATCTATCTAATCCTTCTGTCTGTCTACAATCTATCATCTGTCTATCTATCTATCTATCTATCTATCTATCTATCTATCTATCTATCTATCTATCTATCTAATCTTTCTGTCTGTCTACAATCTCTATCTATCTATCTATCTATCTATCTATCTATCTATCTATCTATCTATCTATCTATCTATCATCTATCTATCTATCTATCTAATCTTTCTGTCCGTCTACAATATCTATCTATCTATCTATCTATCTATCTATCTATCTATCTATCTATCTATCTATCTATCTATCTCTATCTCTATTTTATCTATGTATATTGTGGCCTTACCTTGTTTTAAGAATGTTCAGAAACTGTAAGATTTCTGAGAACTGAATCAGCCTAAGAGCTCGCAAAAATCTTAAACCTGTAATTCAAACAGAAAAAGAGAGAGAAAGAAGTCAAAAAAACCCACTGTACGTTATTAAAGGTATTCTTTTATTAAGAATGTTTATTGTGTCATGAAATACTTGAACCGTAGAGCTTCTCACAGGAGTAAAGTTATATTAGCTACATTATACACCTACATAAAAAAGATTAATAGTTAGGAAAATAATAATAGTTTTCATATCACACTGGAAATGAAGTCAACCACTGAAAATTCAGCATTCCTTGATACAAACCTGGGAAAAGTCGTTTTTTCTCTTGTGTAATGTGTCAGATCATTCTCATATCTATTAAATATACATGTCCGAGACTGGTGACCTAATATTGCTTGCAATGTGCCATTTCATGAGAAATTCCCTGAAAAGGAGTCTAGGACAACTCACCACAGCCAACTCAGCATGGCCAACTCAGCATGGCCAACTTGCCATTGGACAACTCTCTGCGATCAATTTACTGGGGGACAGTTCAACGCAGGATTAGATCCTTTTATTATTCATCAAAGCTTTAGAAAAGCTAGTAGTCATATGCATTATTTCCTTTGATGCAAGAGATAAAATGATTTTGACATAAATTTCATCAACAAAAATAAACTTCACTGAACCCCATGGTGAGTTGTCCTGTGGTGTGTTGTCCCGTGGCGAGTTGTCTGTGGTGAGTTGGCCACAGTGCATTGGCTGTGGTGAGTTGGCCACAGCAGGTTGGTTGTGGTGGCAGATTGTTCCATTCCGTCTAAAAAGAGGACATTGATAAAATGACCTTCCCTTCCTATAGCATCGAATTGAATCGAATTGGATTGAATTGAATTCAATACTTTATTTGGCCAAGTGTGTTTTAGCCAACAAGGAATTTGTCTCCAGTACAGTGGATGCTTCTATACCAGAGACAAATTCCTTGTGTGTCTAATCATACTTGCTCAAATAAAGTTGTCAGCGTTCCAGCGCTGACATATGAAAGGAGAGAAGAAGCTTGAACTTTTGCCTACTTAATTCCTTTGAAGATTCTGTTTCCTCGGAGATGGGAGGAGTGGGGACATTCCTGTGATCTGACGGAGATGGGATGAGGAGAGTGGCTTGGAAGATAGCCATTGAGACGCAGAGAATTGGGGATCGGAAAGGGAGGGCTTGGGGGGCAAAGGTCAGTGCTGACCGTGAAAAAGCCAGGGACAGATCACTATGCTCAATAAAGAGAAAATTTCCTCAAAGATCGGCAGTTTGGAAATTCATTTATTTTGAGATAGCATCGAAACCTGACAAAAGTATTCAATTCAGTTCAGTTCAGCTCAATTCAATTGATGTGTGTGCTTTAATTTCCCCCTCTCCTTCTGAAACATCCTGTTAGGGTGCACATCAATACTTTGGACAGAAACGAGAAATAGTTGCATTTCCTATACGGGCCCAGCTGCATTTGTATGTCTCTAGATGACGATGCTGTAGGAAGGGAAGGTCATTTTATTACACTAAAAGCAATATACCGTCTACCATTTTAACATAAATAAATGCCCTGAAAACCAACAAACAAATAAACAATACAGCACATGTTGGATTTTCGGAAGATTTCAGAAAGATTTACCAAAGAGGTATTTGTATCATCATTATTTTATCACACTCCTCTAGGTTTTTATGGAGGACCAGAAGTAGCTACTTACTTGTATCCCTCTTATTTATATATTTTTTTTCTTTGCAACTATGTACCAGGGGTGGGTTCTACTTATCTTTACTACCGGTTCGCAACGGGATCGCGCGTGTGCGCAGATCGCTTCTGATGATGTCAGGGTCAGTGGGCGGAGCCTCCCACCGGTTTTACTACCGGTTCTATAGAACCAGTCCGAACCGGGGGCAATCCACCACTGCTATGTACTGAGGAAATAATGACAGTGAAGTTCCCGTCACTATCTAAACTAGCTTATCTTACAATATGGGAAGATGAACCAGTTTGCTGTTTTCAGGATAGAATAGTGATGTAAAATAACAATATCAGTGCAGGAAACTGGCATATACTTAACAGGAGTTTAAATTCTTCAAACAGAACACAACTGCTGTCATTCTGTGGAATAACCCAGAATGATAACCTATCTTGACCAAGAAATAGTTTATTTTCATTATAATCAGTAGAGATTAAACAAATACTTGTCCTAATTCATATTCTAGAACAAATCATTTTGTTTTAAAGCGTATTCGCTTAGAAAATTCCAATTTGTTGTTTAATTAAAAAATATCTTTCACTTGTGTATGTTTGTGTTATCTCTGGATAACAATGGTCTAAGAAAGAAAGGTCATTTTATGGTACTAAAGCAATATACCATTTACCATTTTAAGCTAAATAAACACACACAAAATAAATACACAAACATAACAAAAATTGGGAAAGGTGTATCAGAAAAAAATTCTGAAGGACAATGATTTTTCAAAAAAAAAAAGCAGTATCTAACCAATTACTTTTATAAAAATGACATTAACGTCAAATATAAGATGTAGAGAGAGGTTGAAAAAGAGACACACAGATAAACAGGAACGCAATTAAAATTCTGAATAATGGAAAATGAAAACAAAGATTTTCTAACACAGAGACACGCACGCACGCAAATAAACCAACAACAGGCAACGTAACCTAGTCCTAGAATGATTTTCTGCAGTGTGAAAAAAATGCAGAAGCAATCAGAAAGTGTAAAGTTAAGTACAGGTATAATACAAAAAACATAAATCATGAGAAATAGAATGTAAATTAGAAATATAATCAGTGCAAATTTTGAACAGTGCTGTAAGCCTGTGGACAGGACTTTTTGACTCCTCCTTTAAAATAAGGACAAGTCAAACTAGGGATATTAGATAGAATTACAAGAGCCGAGGTGGCGCAGTGGTTAGAGTGCAGTACTGCAGCTACTTCAGCTGACTGCTAGTTCAGCGGATCAAATCTCACTGGCTCAAGGTTGACTCAGCCTTCCATCCTTCCAAGGTGGGTAAAATGAGGACCCAGAATGTTGGGGGCAATATGCTATTTAGTATACTGTCTTTGGTGTAAGCCGCCCAGAGTCCTCGGAGAGTGGGCGGCATAGAAATATGACTAATAAAATAAAATAAAATAAATAAATTACATAGAGAAGATAGAACATATTAGTTGGAAGGAACCTCAGAGGTCTTCTAGTCTAATTCTCTGCCTGTGGCAGGAGACTCTATACCAGTGATGGAGAATCTTTTCGGCACCGAGTGCCCAAACCAGAATGAGGTGCGCATGTGCACCAGAGCCCCGGAAATCCGAAGACCAACTGGCCAGTGCGTGCATCTGGTCTTTGGGTTTCTGGCATGTGCATCTGCACTGGCCAGCTGATCTCCATGCATGCCAGAGCCCCTAAAACCTGAAGACTAGCTGGCCAGAGTGCATACGCATGCCGCCCACCTAGTCTTCAGGTTTCCGGTGCACTCATGGGCAACGGCCAGCTTATCTTCACCCATGCTGGAGCGCCTGAAACCTGAAATCCAGGTGGGTGGTGCGCACATGCACTCTGGCCAGCTGGTCTTCAGGCACACATGAAGATCAGCTGGCTGGCATGCATGCACCCTCTGGAAACCAGAAGAGCAGCTGGTGACAGCATGCGTGCCCACAGAGAAGGCTCTGTGTGCCACCTCTCCACACTTTCAACGTACTTCTTTATATTGTGGTTGACCAGAACTGGACACAGTAATCCAAATGTGGCCTCACCAATGCAGTATAAAGATCATCACCTCGTGTGATATTGAAACTATCCTCCATTGATAGGTGTAAGACTGCATGTGCTATATTGGAAGCTGCAACACATTGCTGGCTCAGGGTTAAATGGTATTTAAAGAGTTAAGTAGTCTACCAGCTCACTTAGATGCTTTCACAGTTGCTGCTGTTCGATTCCAGATTAACAGAGTTGGAAAGGACCTTGTAAGTCATCTAGTCCACACACACACACACACTGACCAAGCAGGAGACCCTACACCACTTCGGACAAAATGGCAGTCCAGTCTCTTCTTGAAAGCTTCCAGTGATGAAACTCCCACAACTTCCGAAGGCAACTTCTGTTCCATTGGTTGATTGTCCTCACTGTCATAAAATTTCTCCTAATTTCTAGGTTGAATCTCTCCTTGATCAATTTCCACCCATTATTTCTTGTCTGGTCGACAGGTACTTTAGAAAATAGTTTGACCCCTTCCTCTCTGTGACAGCCCCTCTAATATTGGAAGACTGGTCTCATGTCTCCCCTGGTCCTTGTCTTCACTAGACTAGCCATGCCCAGGTCCTGTAACAGTTCTTCATGTTTTAGTGTCCAGTCCCCTAATCGTCCTGGTTGCTCTTCTCTGCACTTTTTCTAAAGTCTCAATGTCTTTTTTATAGTGTGGTTGAGCCATACCTTGAGAACACCTTGTATAAAGTTGCTTTAGCTGTAAATTTAAGCAAGGTCTAATCCGTAACTTGAACATTCCTTTAACTGTCTTACTTCTATGAAGCTTTTCCCATCACTCAAAGTTATGGGAGATCAAAAGTTGAACAGAGTCTCAATAAAGGAACCATAAATTGTTTGCTATGACCATCGGCTTGTTTTTAATCAAGCTGTCAATTTTTCTAGAAGATGCCAAGTATACAATTAGACTAACTGGAGAGTTTGCCTTTTAGAAAACAATTTAGATAAATAATACCGTGTTTCCGGTTGGTAGGGACAGAACAACATAAGGCTCATCAATTTCTACGGGATGAAAAACCTTACGGAAATGGAAAGTGATATCCATTTTTAATGCCGATTGAAGCGTAGGAATTGGTAATAATGCAAGAAGGACAATTTGCATTCTGTTCACTTGTTTAAATGAATATCTTAAAGGCAAAGGTTCCCCTCGCACATATGTGTTCGTCGTTCCTGACTCCAGGGGATGATGCTCATCTCCGTTTCAAAGCCGAAGAGCCAGCGCTGTCCAAAGACGTCTCCATGGTCATGTGGCTGGCATGACTAAATGCCAAAGGCAC